GCCGATTCGGGATGAACTGGTTCGAAGGGGTTCGCTCGCTCGCTCCGAGCGACGGACACTTTTGTCACGCAAATGCTGCAGGACAGGGCGCTGTGCACAGCAGCATGCTGCTTCGCTGTGCGACTCGGACCTTGCAGTGGGCCGACTTGGGTCGCCGACTGGCTCGCCGACTGGCTCGCCGACTGGGTCGCCGACTTGGAGAATATTGACTGGAGACGGGAAAGTCATTCAAGGGACGTCGTGCCGCCCTTCTCTCTCTCTCTCTCTCTCTCTCTCTCTCTCTCTCTCTCTCTCTCTCTCTCTCTCTCTCTCTCTCTCTCTCTCACTCCGGCCGCGACTGCTTCAGGTGGGAAAAGAGCGCCAGCCGCTGCGAGAAACCCGTGAGCGCGGAGCAGTGCTCCGACGAGTTAGCTCAAAATCCTGCTTACACTGTGGTAGGTACTATCTTGCGGGTGGTTCTGGTTCGCGTGCCGGGCCGTCGGGCCGTTGGCATCGCTTTGGAACGGGCCGCCGCACACCGAGCCTAACCGAGGGCCTCGATGGCCACACGCCTCGCACCCTGCCATGCAGGGCTCTGCAAGCCGGCCCCGCTGATCCGCGTGAAAACATAAATATACCCGGCGACATGGCGGCGCTGCGAGACAGGACAAAGATGCGCAAGATGCGCTAGGCCGCAAGGCCGCAGCCATTATTTCGCATTTAAAAGTAAAACCGGCCTCGTGTCGCATTGTGGTGCGTTGTGGCGCGGTGGCGCGTCCGCGAGGAGCAGTGTGTCATAATGTAGTGACGCGGCGGCATTGTCGCGCCGAAAATCTCACTCGCTTTTCCCTCTTTGCCGTCTTTTCGCAGCTGCGAAGAATTCGGCACGGCCGGGGCGCGGGAGGAGTGGCGTCGCCGTCGCGAAATCGCGGTGTCTTTTTGCCGCAAAAAAGGAGGAGGAGGTGAGAGGAGGAGGAGGAGGAGGAGGAGGAGGAGGGAGGGGGAGGGGGAGGAGGAGGATATGGCGCGCCCGCCCGCATTCAGACATTCAGACCGCATCGTGTGGCTCGGAAATGTGACAACTCTACATCTACAGACGCTAACAGACACGGGCGGCTGTCTTCTGTTTTGCTATACGAACGAGCTCCAGGTGTGGGCCAGGGCCGTTGACACCGGATTACAGATGAGTCAGTTGACTATTATTCCTATTCCTATTGCTAATTTTAGTTATAACGTCAAATAATGTAACATTCAACATGGATCCGCGTTCTTGGACACACAAAAATTGTGTCGATGGTTGAAAAGCCCCCAGAGAAGTGGGAATAGCCCTGTGAAGCCCACCCTATGCGTGCTCCTTTCCTCGACAATTTATTGATATTTTTTACCCGTCTAGAAAGCAGCTAGCATGCGACAGACTTCAAGGAGTCTCCGGCGGGGTAGTACACGACATGCCACTCTTCTACGCGACATTATTTTTTTCCACCTCTCGTTTCGCTCAAATAAACGCGATATTTATTTGGGGAAGGCCACGGGGCATAAAAATGCTGTTCGAATCGCACAGTTACGTGCGCTCCATGGAGCAGAGTGAGCGATCGTGGAGCCATTTTTTCCGGTCGTTCCTCAACCTCACATCACGCCGCGCATCGCGCCACGCATCACGCCCCCGGCGGTCGCCTCGCTCCATTTGCCTTTCCGTGACATTGCGCGCGTTTCCGGGGCGCGGCCACCTTCGCGTCGCCAAGGTGCCTGATTCAGAAGAGACGTTCTGTCTCTCTCGCACCCCGCGGACCACCCCGTGAGTGGGAGAGAGACAGAGCGACGAAACAGTTCTGCGAACCAAAGCCACTGTTCCAAAGTCGCCGTTAAGACGGCCATTAAGGCCGTTAACGCGGTCGTAAACCAGGAGGGCGCGATCGGCGAAGTCGGCTAGCCATATCGGCTGCGATATCGGTTTCGATTTCACCGTGATGAAGACATTAGGGTGGGCAATGTTGAACTGGATACCCCGTGAGATCCTACACTGTCTGGCTAGGTCGAAAATCCCGTGTAATGAGTGGGGGAAGTGCTTTCAAAATGATCGAACTGACCGGCCGGCCGGCCACGGCGCGTCTCTTCAACGCACGGGCACTGCACGCATGCCTGCGCACGAGCAGCGTCGCACAAAAGCACCGCGAGTCGACTTTCCCGGAGTATTCAAATCACTCTCCGAGAGGCAAGAGTGTTTACTTGAGAACATAATACTTGGCCATTGAGACGGGATTAAAATGCAAAGTGGCCGTTTAGAGTGACCCGATACGTACGGGCCGGGCGCCTGGGCGCGTCTCTGGGCCGCTCGGACAGTGGACACTCGATACGATAAACAAGGGTCAAGGCGGCCGGGGCGCGGTGTCCGACGGTGTGGTGTCCGACGGTGCGGTGCCCCCCGCGTCCCGCGACGTCGCCGCCGAGGCTTCGGCCGGGCGCAGGTAGGGTGGCACGGCGGCGGTCAGCGAGCAGGAAGTTCCCGCGAGGGCCGAAGGGTGCCGAGGGTGGCCAGGGCTCCCCGCCGCGCGCCGGCTCCCCCAGCACCCCCTGCACCCCTTGCTGGACGTGCCGGACTCCCCGTGGACCAGGCGGCGCGGCTACTGAGGCGGCCACTGAGGCGCCCCGAGATCAACTCCTCCCTGATTGACCGCCAGATGGCTCCCCCGGCCGCGGCTTTGTCTTCGCGGAGAGTTCTTCGCCTTCGGCCGGCCCGGCCTCGGCCAATGAATGCTCTCGATTCGGCCGGGACGCGCAATACCGGCGTGACGGTGCGAAAGGGATGGCGGTAGGGTTCGCCCAACTTTTGTCCGGTCAATTATTGCAACAAGGTTCCGGTAATGAGGGAGACGGATGCTGTCTTCGCCACGGCCCCGCCACGGCCAGTGCGTGGGAACGGCCTGACAAGGCAGCCCGATTCAGGCGCCTCCCTGCGCTGGACAAACTGCTGGAGTGGAAATGGAACCAATTCGAAAGTTTCCTCGGCCGAGCGACCGCAACCCAAAAGACGGTTTCGGTTTATTCGGTTCCGGTTGCACTCCCACTTCCCTATTCTCATGTATCGGCCGGCGGAAGCCCACACCGCTTGGCGACGTCGAACGGCGCTGAAAGCGAGCAGCGTCGCAGCGTCGCGCCACAATTCAAACCTTAGAAGCGGCCGACCGCGACGACGGGGTGGCCGCGTCCGAAGGAGGACAATTCGCAGTGTGGGGCCTGAGACAATGAAGGAGCACACTCGAACGCGCCCCTACCTGTCCGCTCCCAAAACACCCAAGCCGTAAGCAGGTCGCGATTTACGACGCGACCCCCAGCCTGTCCTCCGGGATGTCCTCCGGGATGTCCTCCAGGACCCCGCGAGGGCCGCGGCGGCGTCCTCCTCGGCGGTCTTTCCTCTCGCGAGTCCTTTGTCGACGTGCGCGCCGATGGCCGCAAAACGGCCTCCAGGGCGACGAGAATATTCCCTCAAACGGAACTCGACGTTCAGGAATTGTTGTTTGAAAGAAGCACATTGCGTTGTGACAAATTTCGGTAATGGTACTCGATGAAAGTTGTTACTTCTCTCGCAGTTTTTTTGGCCAGTCCACGAAAGTGCGTCAAAAATGCAAACGAGCGTAAATCCGTTTCTGTTTTGATGAAGCACGCTGGAGGAACCTGGCTAGAGCCCACAGAGACACTCAGGTGTGAGAAAGCTTCGTCGAACCGCAGCCGTGCTATTCGCTGGACCGCGACAGTCCCGCCGGTCCCGACGAGAGTCTGCGCCTAAGTTGCTGTACCGCGGTGTGCCAGCGTGCCAACGCCAGCCCGTGGCGGCTTGAGAGACCGCCCCGGTCGAGGCGAAGATGCGCTTCGGCGTCGTCGTCCGAGACAACAGTGCGAATAAAGAGTGTGCGAAATGCCTGGGGGGTCGCCGGGTCGTCGGCCAAGAGTTACGGCCCGGACACAATGACACGGCCTCCAATACGCCGTCATCGATTTAATAAGAGAGAGAGGAGCGAGCGTGCCGGCCCATCGATTTCACCCTTTAGGGTGATGACACTAAGTGCCGCCGGGCCGCGACTTGCAGTGCAGTGCCAGCGCCGCGGCACGCCGTCTGGCCCGTCGGGGTTGGCTAATAGAGCGAGCAAAAGGGTAAACACGAGAGAGAGGCTCATCCCCGCCGTTCCTTTCTTCCCGTTTTTTGCACCTTCCAGTCTTGTCACCTCTCTCGGGCGCGCAAAAGGGCCCTCATGGTATACGAGTCGCGAATCCGCGTTAGAAAGGTCGTCGCGATCGCGTAGAAAAATAAAGTGTCGGGAAGGATGTGACTTGACAAGCCGGACTGGGACCTGCAGTTGGCAACGGTCTCCTCCGTAAGAGCATTAACAATTTTTTGCGGCTTTATGTCAATCAAGACGACTGCTGGCCAATTTCTCCAAAATAATATTTCTATGACTGTTAATGTAATTAAACATTTTTTTTGTAAAATTTTTATTACAATTTAACAGAAAAATGTATATAGATTGAAAGAAATAAATTCAACACGATAAAGAAAATTTCTGCGAAAGAGGGCGAAAACTACCAAATTTGGCCTGGATCGGGTGTGGATTTTGTTTTCAGTGAGGAGAAGTTCCAATTACGATCAAAATAATGCTCACAGCCGAACAGTGCTCGCGAACAGACGGCTGCGAGATTGTGCAAGTCGGTGGGGCCGCGCGAGCACGGCTGAGCAAGGCTGAGTCAGGCTGAGCGAGGCGGTGCGTTGGCCAACCCTCGCCGCGCGCCCTGTCAATACTCTGCCGATTATTCCGCCTCATAATTTGATAACAACCCCTTTAACCTGTCACTGAGTTCGCGCCGTGTCCTCGCGTGGAGAGGGAGAGGGGGGGACAGGGTCTCGATGTCCTCACGGGGCACTAAGTTACCGTTGCCGTGCCTCTGCGAAAGCGGCTCGCACTGTCGCCTGGCGTTGCCGACTTACCAACCATTCAATGTCAAAGTTTTCCATCAGCCACAAACCAAATATGGCCGGATTTTTTAATTGGGTCTCTGTGCGATTGGCACGAGTTACTCTCACAAAACCCGCAGAGCCTTGGCAGGTTAGAAAAGGTCAAAGTTTAGGCGCGAGAGGATTGAGTGTCATTGCGGCACATTTCCACCAATTTCAGACTCCACCTCGCACTTTGCCTTCGGCCTCTGTGGAAACTTTACGATTTTTTGCTTGCAGAAACAGCCGTCCATCTTCTGGGTGCAGGAGTTCGGCCTGGCCGGGGTGGCGAGGCAGGCGAAGCAGGCGAAGGCTGCGCGCCAGGGGCAGCAGTGGGGCGCATGGGAGGAGACGCAGCCAGCGTCCACGTCCAGGCCGGTGCCGCCCCGCGCGGCCGAGGCCAAGGCCGAGGCCAAGGCCACCACGACCCGGCAGCGCGTCCTCGGCATCCTCAGGGACTTCGTGGACAACGCCTACATCTCCGGGGTGTCCCTGGCCGGCAGGGCGGACATCCCGCTGTGGGACAGGTCGGGGCCGGCTTTGGAGTTTTCCTCGTAGCCACATGAAAAAGGACTCGAAAGGTGTCTGTTTCAGGCTGTTTTGGGTGTCCGTCGTGCTGGTGGCGCTCGGCCTGGTGATCCGGGAGTTCCCCGTGACCTACAGGCGGCTCTACGAGCACCCCTCCACCGTGGAGGTGCTGAGCACGTCCCTGGAGCTGCATACCTTCCCCTTCCCCGCCGTCGTCGTCTGCCCCCAGATGAAGATCCGCAAGCGGGCGGCCATCGAGTACATCATGAGGTAGGCGTGCGCACACAGTGGACCAGAAGACCGGCGGAGGCGGCCAAAATTCTAGACGCGTTTTGAGCTCCAGAGTCGCAAAATGGGACTCGGACGTGTGATCCCACCAATGGTTTCCTCGTTCGGAGAGCAATTCGTTGGTGGGGTGGGATCACACGCTCGGTTCGAGTCCTATCTAGCGACTCGAGCTCAAAGCGCGTCTAGAATTTTGGCTTCGATCACCGGCCTTCTGGCCCACTGTGGAGAGTGTTCGCGGACGACGCAGGGCCAACAGGCTGCAGCGCCCCAACGAGACGCTGCTGCTGCCGGCGCTGCGGATGCTGCAGAACTACCGCCTGCCCTACTGGCTGGACAGGGGCGCCCCCGACATCGACCGCAGCATACTGCGGATGTTCGACGCCATCGACCTGCGCGACTTCATGGACCACGTCAGTACTCTTCAGGGAGCTCCCTCTGTCTAGAGCGAGCGAGCGACGAAAGCCTTTTTCGCAACGCGCAGGTGGCCCTCGACTGCAAGTCCATCTTCGCCGCCTGCTTGTGGTCCGGCACCTTCGTGGACTGCTGCAGCATCTTCACGCCCACCATGTCGAACGCGGGGGTCTGCTACGCCTTCAACTCGTACACCACCCGCGACTCCCGGAGCAACTGGTGAGCCAGCGACTGCAGCGACGCCAGCAAAGTCACGGCATGTTCCGGCATGTTTCGGCCGCACCAAGCCGTTGGAAGGGCAGAGCTCGGCAGAGCTACAACGAGACCAAACCGGAACACTCGTTTTTGTTTCTTAATACACTGATTGTTCGGCCCGGTGCTGAAGACCTATTCCGAGAGTCGTTTTCGTCGCTCTGCCTCTCTCGCACCTACACGGGACGGCCCATGAGCGCGAGAGAGACGGAGCGACGAAAACGACTCTGGTCTGGACGCGGCCCCTGATTGCTCCTCAGCCCGCTGATACATCCGAACGAGCGGCCCCTGGAGAGCGGCGCCAGCATCTGGTACTTCCACCGGCCCAACAAGATCGGCTGCGTGCTGGTCAGGAGCAGCGGCACGGCCAGCGGCTCCGGCCTGGAGGTGAGTCCGGCTCGGTCGGGTCGAAGAAAGGAATAGATTGTCTCTCAAGAGGCACAAGAGCACGAGGGTGCTCCGTAAGCCGCCTGGAAGGTGAAAGGTTGAGAAGATTTTTGCACCCAAAGATTCAAAATAAGTTACTGTGTCGACAGTTCCTTCTGCTCCAATCGGACCCGCTGGACAGCGTGGCCCCGCCGGGCAAAAGCTTGGGGTACGAGATATCCGTGCAGGCCGCCAACGAGAACGCCGACATGGACAAGGGCGTGTCGCTGAGCGGCAATCCGGGCACCGTCACGGCCGTCAAGGTGACGTACTCCGAGACCACGGCGGACCCCTGGATGGCGGGCCTGCCGCCGGAGCAGCGGCGCTGCCTGTTCGAGGACGAGAAGCCCAAGGAGCTGTTCGACCACATCGCCACCGCCTGGTACACCCAGGAGACGTGCATGTTCGCCTGCAGGCTGGACTTCCTCGTGCGTCACTGCGGCTGCTACCCCTTCTTGATCACGAAGAAGGGTGAGCTGCGAGCCAAGCACCGGCTGCAGCGAATGTTCGCCTGTATTTCTTATCTATTTAACCCTTCTTGTACCGGACCTTTCAGACGAACAGTGCTCGCTTGAACAGTACAAGTGCCTCATAGACTTGAACGGTGAGTCGAATTCGCCCCCGACTCTGCGTCGTCGGCGCGGCACTCACGCACTGCTTTCCGCCCAGAGCGCCTGTTCTGGGTGCGCCTGCCCGAGGAGATCGGCACCACGCCCGAGGAGCGCAACCACAGCCTGTGGCCGGACTGCCGGGCCTGCCTGTCCATGTGCTCGCTGTCCATCTACGAGGCCGAGTACCTCACGGACCGGTCGCCCAACCTCTTCACCGCCGCCTCGGCCGGCTTCGTCAACGTGTTCTACCGCGACCTGCACAGCGCCATCAAGTACTCGGAGCGCCGCGACAAGGAGCCGTTCAAGGCCATCAGTGCGTATCAGCGGGTTCGGTTCTAGTCCTGTTTGGCGACTCTCTAGAAATGCGTCTAGAGTTTTGGCCGCCGGCGCCGGTCGTCTGTCCCACTGTGCGGTGGGGCCCCGCTTTAGCTGGCTTCGCCCCGCTCCGGGTAGGCCGTCCCGCCGCCAGGGCTGCACGCCGGGACGGCCTACCCGCCTCCGCCAAGGGGCCATGGCGCGGGCCACTGTAGTCGAACTGCAAGCGGCTCGCAGACAAGCACACAGAGAGGCACACTGGTTGGCGCGTGTGTTGCAGTGACGTACACCGCCAGCATGAACTTGCTGCTGGGCGTGAGCCTCATGAGCGTGGTGCAGCTCGTCATGTACACGGTGGAGGTGGCGCTGGCGCTGTCCCGGCCGCTGTGGACGCGCCTCGTGGCGTGGCGGCGGCGCTGGTGGAGGCCGCCGACGCCTCCCCCGCCGAGGACGTCGTCGAGGACGTCGCCGAGGACGTCGCCGAGGTCACCGAGGATATCGTCAAGGACATCACGGAGGACGTCACCGAGGACGTCACCGAGGACGTCGTCGAGGACGTCGTCGCGTACCTCCCCCCTGCCGCCGGTCCTTCCCTTCGTGCTGTAGCATGCTCTGCTGGCAGACAGCGCGCCATCCGCGCCATGCGACTCCAGCACGGAAGCAACTACTCTGCATTCCGGCGAATCGTGGATCGAAGGATGATAACTGTTTGGCCCTCAAAGCAATGGCAAGTTTTATTTACAAATAACGGAATCGCTTTGATTATTCAACTTCAACGGCCGAGTCAGTCGGCACCGAATCGCTTCATTTTCCCGCGCGCGGGGCGGCCCGCGGTGTTTACGACTTTTCCTTTCCGAAAACTGTCACCGCGACGTCGCCGCCATAAACATGCTTGCATGCCAAACAGCCAAACGCGAGGAAAGGCGACAATATCGAACCGCGAGAGTGTTTCGACCTCTGACCCCGCGGCGACTCCATCGACTCCCAGGAGTGCCTCGTCCTGGTCGGAAGGGCCAGCCCTGGGCCAGCCGGCCGCCCCGACAGCCCCGACGAGTGATGAATGCGTCGTCAATCACCTGCACTTCCCCATCGCCGTGCGTCGCCGTGCGTCGCCGTGTGCATACAGTGCAGTGCGCCACCGCGCCACGGATTCCCTTCGCATGCGGGCCGTGCTGCCCGCTGCCGCCGCCACTGCCGCCACTGCCGCCAATGCATAATTTGTCCCGATCGACCATTTTCCCGCCAAAAACTGGCGGCGGTGATCCATCGCCCGTTTCGTGAAGCGGCTTGCGACACATGTCCGCCGCGGCCGCTCGCACATGCATCCGGGTCGTCGTATCCAGCGCTCACGGCCTCTTTGGAACCCGAAAGACGGAGCCTAATTTGACTTTACTTTTTAATCAGGGGTTGACTGGCAGTAAGCCCTGCGAAGGCCCTAAACGGCATCTCAACTTGACTCGCGTTGTCGGTGGATGGTGAAGAGAAAATGGAGGTCGATGCTCATTACACGACAACGGCGGGGAGTCGAACCCGAGACAGAGAGGTGAGCCCCCGACAGCTGGCGGCCGGCGTCTTATCCAAATGAGCCACCGATTTCCAACGTCGGGCATCTGCCTCTCAAACCTGTGAACCTGTGACTACCGCGCGGGGCACACTAACCACCTTCGTCCAGCACCCACTCAGCGAGTCCCAAGTCGTAATGCTTTTTCTGCAAAAAAAATTGTTAAAATACTGAAAGCTGAACGGATGCATCCCCTTGCGTGAGATGCGCTTGGATCGCGTGGAACCGTTCGGCCGATATCGATGAACCTCAGACAATGATGGCCGGGAGGGCCATTCATTTTCCATCCAAAGAGAATGGGGCGGCTAATACCTTGCCCGGCCGCCTGGCTGTGCCTGGCTCGCCCTCCTCGGCCTCGAGACTCATTCCGAGAGTCGTCGCTCTGTCTCTCTCGCACTCGGAAGCGCCCCTTATGGGTGCGAGAGAGACAGCGATGAAAAGGTGCATAGCTGCTGGGGCTGCTCAAAGCCAACCCCCCGGCGCGCGGGGTATCGCCGCGGGGCTACCGGAACACGCGGGGCGGCGCGCGGCGGTCCGCTCCGCGGCCGTAAACATGCCAGCAAAGGAGAAAGGATGTGATCCCGGCTGTGCTGGCCGTCCTGGCCGTCCTGGCGCCCCCCGATGCATCGACAGTCGAACATCATTAAGAGGATATGGTACACCTCCCCAGAAGCGGCATTTCCAGGGACGCGCAGGGACCTCTTTCTAACGCCGTCCTAGCCACACCGTTCGAGGTATCGATATGGAACTTGGCACACGGGCTCAGAAGGGATCAATCTCAATGACGGTGCGTTCAAAAAATTTTTTGAACGCCTAAGTTAGGCCCCAGGGCAGTTCAGTTCTGGTCCAACTTTCGTTCACAACACATCCTGAGAAAATGGGAATATCGAAAAAAGGGCGATGGTACGTTCTAGATTGACATTTACTCTTTCCGGAGATGTTATCCCCTTTCCTGTGCGTTCAAAATTAGAGGTCAAAACCCGGTAGACCGCAGACCTCTGCACGGCGACTTTCGGCGATTCCGGAGCCGGTCAAAGAGAGGAAGTGCAATGTAACTGTCGACGAGCTGTACCGGCCCCAGACCCCGCACATGTTGTCGCCGACTTTGTTTCACTGAATAGGGACTGCCTGGGCACAGCCTGGCCCGCCACTCTCGCCCAAGGATCGGCACCGTGACAGGTCAATTTATGGCCCCGTGCCTAAATAGTTAAATTTTTCAGCGGTTCATTTTGGAGTTGTGAAACTTGCTCAGATGGATTCAACGGGCCATTGCGGTGTCAGGCGAATAAAGATTCAAGTTCTTGCGACTATTTTGACCTAGGCTGTCCCGAACATAATCAAGTCCGGTGGCGGGGCTAGTACTGGAGAGTTAAGGTCAAAATGGTCGTAGAACTTTATTTTTGAGTTGCCTGAAACCACAATCGTGCGCTGGACCCCATTCGCCAAATCCTAAAACTCTAAAATAATCCGTTCAAAAATTTAACTGCCGGGGTCTGGGGCCCATAAATCGGCCTGTCACGCTGCCGACCCTTCGACTCATCGGCTCCGGCGCGTGAATGAGGCGGGGGCGGGGGGCCGGCAGGGGGCCCGGCGCAGAGACAAAGCAGAGGGCTGCATGCAGGCAGCCAGGAGGGGCAGGGGCGGGGGCAGGCGGGGGTCAGCATAGCCCGTCTACGACAGTGCCTTTTCAAAACTCTGCGAGATGACAAAAATCATCGTGCAGAGGTCTGCGGTCTACCGGGTTTTGGCCTCTAATTTTAGTCGCACAGGAACGGGGATATCATCACTGGAAAGAGCAAATGTCAATCTAGAACGTACCATCGCCCTTTTTTCGATATTCCCATTTTCTCAGGATGTGTTGTGAACGAAAGTTGGACCAGAACTGAACTGCCCTGGGGCCTAACTTAGGCGTTCAAAAAATTTTTTGAACGCACCGTCATTGAGATTGATCCCTTCTGAGCCCGTGTGCCAAGTTCCATATCGATACCTCGAACGGTGTGGCTAGGACGGCGTTAGAAAGAGGTCCCTGCGCGTCCCTGGAAATGCCGCTTCTGGGGAGGTGTACCATATCCTCTTAACTCCGCCGGGCCGTGGCTGGCCGTGGTAGCCGCGGTCTGTCTGGTCCCCGGCGTCCTGGCCGTCGCCGCCAAGGAGGCCGTCTTTGTCTCGCCCATTGTCCGCGGCCAATACTCCCGGTCCAATTCCCTTTATCCGGAATGGGCCCAATGACTGAGCCAATCGGGCGAGCGGGCCGGGCCGGGCCGGGCCGGGCCGTGGCGAGCCCAGCCTAATCCCTTGAAGCGTTGCCCAAATCCGCGGACGGACACGGACGCTGCCGACTTGTGCGGACTTCCTTCCTTCCTGCCGGGTCCGTCTCCCTCGCACCCGTGCGGGACGCACCGTGGGCGCGAGAGAGACGGAGAGACGCAGCGTGTCGCCGTAAAGTACGACGTCTCCATTGAATGGCGATGGGCGTCGCAGCGTCGCCGCGAGGGGGTCTTGGTCTTGACGGACGCGATGGCACGCCGCTGTGTGCGCAGTAAATTAGGAGTCTCTATCAAGCACCCAAATCCGACACTTTTTGGGGACGTTTTGCCCCTTTTTTTTAGTTTTGATTGTGTTTTGATTTGAGGAAGTGTCACTTTATACACTGTAATTCGCGTACGAAGAGGCGTCTGCGGTTGGTGGTGTTTTTTTAGGTGCCTCATTGTGATTCATTTGGATTCATCTGACATTTGGCCGCGCATGCCATCAGGGTTTTCCCCCATTTTATGACATTTGCTGTCACGTCAGGAAGAGGCAGAACCACCCAATTGTTTTACCCATGGGGCGGTGCTTTCTTTCGTCGGAAACCATCCCTTACTCGGGTCTCGATTTGGCCGATACTGAAACGTGACGCAGGCCGAAGCTGCGCGCCAGCAGCCATAACGATAAATTTGCATTCACCGCGCCTGCTGGCGAGAGAAGCGCGAATCGGGTGCACTGCGGCACTGCAAGACTTTCCCGGCTAAATCCACGCGCGGCTCGTATTTTTGGCGCCCGGCTGCTGGCACGCCTGCTGCTGGCGGCCCAAACCCAAAACGGCAGCCGTGACCAACGTAACGCGACTTCCTTGAGCAGGAAACGTCCGCGAGGGACACTTTATGAAGCGCAGCCAATGCCTCTGCCGCGGTTCAGTCGCACTGCCGCACGCACCGCGCGGGGCGGGGCGGGGCGGGGTGCCAATCACGGAATCACACAAGGCGGTGATGCAAATCAAGCCCGCGGTCGCAATGGCCCAGCGATCCGCTCTGCTCCAGCGGGGATGCGCTCCGAGAGTGGAACGCGTGGATGTTTACGACCCCGGCCCGCCGTGGCGGCCGTGGCGGTCGGAAGGGTACAAGGCACACACGCTGAGCGCGCTGAGCGTTCGGCCGAGAGGAAGTCGGGTGATCCTTTCAATCGCTGACCAGCCGCCTTGTATGACGACGAGTGCGGAGTGGAAGGAAGTGGGGCCGTCGGGGATTGGAGCCCCGCAGCGGCCCGAAGGGGGACCGCATTGATGGCTCACGTTACGTTTGTTGGTTTACTTTTCATGCATCGGATCATTTATTGATCTGCGTGATCGCGTCCATTGGTTCACTGAGCTAATGGTGGCTGACTGGCCCTCGTCCAGGCCAAGGTCCAGGTCAAGGTCCAGGCGCTGAACTTTATCAGGGGTTTGCTTGGTCCACTGCAGTACCACTGCACGGCAGAAACGGTTCCTGATTTTCCGAGGAACTACGTGGAAATCGCTCATGTCTTTCTTATAGGCTACCTGGGAAAACCCGGAACCGTTTTCGCCGAGTGGTTCAAGGTT